CTGAAGTCTTTGAGTTTCTTCTGCTGCATAGCAGTAGTGAAGCCCAGACCGTTGAGGATCCGCGAGGCCCTCATCTCGGCTTTATCAGCATCCAGCTCCTCCAAACGCTCATACAGCTCCATCAGCTTCTCACATTCAGCTAAAGTTGGACAAACAAATGTAAACAATTAAATTCACAAATTACAAGTGTTCCTCAAACATGAGATTCCTTAAAAACTGGACAGAATTAAGGAGCCTTCTCAAGCGGAGATGTCCAATATACCACGCCTAGGAAAGGAAGCTGTTACAAAAACAGTTCCTATGAAAACGTGGAAAGTTTTCATTTTGATCCGACCTATTAAAGAAATTATTCTCTAGCAAAATATGAAAATGTTCATTAAACACCTTCATTACATGTTTATCCTTATGCCGTCACTGGTTCTCAGACATCTTGGGATCAAACACAATTCATGTTGAACAAGTAAAAGCCAATTGTCATTTCTAGGTGAACTAATCCTAATATGCTGTTTGCATTTGATCAGAGTTGTTGAAACTCACAATCCTCATGAGCAAGCCTTTCAGCCTCTCTCTCCAGCTTGATCCTCTCTTCATCTACCTCCATCACACACTCCAGAGCAGTCTTCTCACTGGGAGCCATCTCACGGGTCAGGTGGTAGATATCAATGTGCTCTGGAATCGGCACCTCCCTGTGACCAATTGCTGACAGCAGCATGGATTTGCCTAAACAAAAATTTAGATACAAGTCAGTTTTCTAAGAGCCTGTCAATTGAAGTCACTTCTGAAGCTACCAAGAGGAGATCTATTAGCCCAACATAAACAGATCATTCATTTACCAGTTCCATTGAGTCCAATAAGGCCATACCGACGACCAGAGTTGAGCTCCAAACTAGTGTCACTGAGCAGCTCCTGTCCGTGAAAGGTGAGAGACAAGCTGCTGATGTGCACATCAGTGCTGTTAGGATGAGATGCCAGCACGCCAGTCACTGCTCGAGCCTCGGTTTTCTTCAGCTCAAACTCATCCAACTCCTTTATCAAACTGGCAACCCCTGTAAAAAGAAAAAAGGAATATTCAAATGGGTTAAGGAAGATGATGAGTAACAGGTTTTGAAACGTCTTGAATAGAAGCACATGAAAAACCTGTTCAGACCAATGCATCAGTGTTAATTTTGACAGCAAATTTTTATTTAGTTTTAGTCATAGTCTTTTGACTAAAATGCCATTTAGTTTTAGTCATATTTTAGTCATCTGAATTGTTTTTAGTTTTAGTCGTTTTATTTGACTAAATATCATAAGATTTTAGTAGACTAAATTACAGTAAATTTAGCCAGCTAAAATCGAATGGGTTTAGTTATAGTGTAATGCATTTATTAAGCATTTCTCTAAAATTTCCAAACTCATTATATAGGTTTGATATTAAGGTTTTATCATGATAGACACACAACATGCCTTAGACATATTTATTTCTATAAATAAATTTAGATGAATCTTTAAGGCTACTAAAGTGTTTCAGTCAAGAGCAGAGCGTGATTTTCTGTCTTTCTTTTGTTGCTTGATTAACAATCAATGACTCGGACAATAGCAACTAAATTAGGCTGCTGTCCCTTTAAAACCGAATGCACAGCTGCAATGGATGCAATGTACTGATAGACGTTCTCTCTACTGTTTACATTCACTTAAGATGTAATCAACTGAGTTTACGTGAATACTCGTCAAAACGGACAATTCGACATCATTTTGTGTGTAATTCTCCGTTCTTGCGACGCGAAAGAGTACTCGCGCGCTGTGAGACGCGCTTTGTGTG